AGAGAACATATATCGGGTGCCTCTCCTCTTTCCCCTTGTGTTCGTCATTTTGGTTAATTACTGGAAAATGGCGGTTCCTCCTCTCGGGATCTTGGGCACGCACGCACACGTGCCCGGCGTGAGTTTTAAGCCACTGGGTCCAGGACGTGAACCGCGGTCGACTACGTGGGAGTCCAGCCACATAGCCATTATGCTAACTGCTGGTCCCAACCTTTTTTCTTTTTTTTGGAGAGGTTTTTGCTTTAGGGCGTGTGCACTTGCCAGAAAGACAGAGAGATAGAAAGCAAGAAATCACCCCCCGGGGGGATGGCCATGCCTCAATCCCTTCCCCTCCATTCTCCTCTCGGGATCTTGGGCACAGGCCCAGTGTGAGTTGAAGCCACTGGGTCTGGAACTCGCACTGCGGTCAACTACATGGGAGTCCAGCAACATAGCTGTTACGCCAACTACTGATTCCTATCACTATTAACCTTAATGATCCTGGTGAAGTAAAATTTATTTTGAAAAAATTATTTATTTAATTTTATTTATTATTATTCTTTACAAAAAGATTGCTATAGAACAACACATGTACTCACCAGAGAGGAAAACAGAGAGAGAGAGGGAGAAAGAGAGAATGAGAAAGCAAGTTGCCAGGTCTGGGATTTGAACTGTGATAGGCTATATGAGAGTCCAGTGCCTTCACTGCCACACCACTTGCTGCCCAGGAAGTCACTTAATGAGTGGGAACTTGTTCTCTACCTCATTGAAGAAGATACATAAATTATTTGAAATTATTCTATCATATATGGGAGATCTATGCTCCCCATTAATTTATTTATTCAAGTATATATAGGCTTTTTTTGTTTGTTTTTTTTTTTAGAGGTTTTTGCTATAGGGTGCGTGTGCTCTATACAGAGAGAGACAGAGAGACAGCGAGAAATCACCCCTCGGGGGGATGGCCATGCCGCAATCCCTTCTCCTCCGATCTCCTCTTGGGATCTTGGGCACACACGCACATGCGCCCGGCATGGGTTTTAAGCCACCGGGTCTGGGACTCGAACCACGGTCAACTACATGGGAGTCCAGCGACATAGCCATTACGCTAACTGCTGGTCCCAAGTATTTATAGGCTTTTAACAAATTTTCGCCAGGTGCTCGTTTTAGAAGCACATATGTTAAAATTGGAACAATGCAGAGAATAGTAGCATGGCCCCTGCACTAGGATGACACCCAAATTCATGAGATGTTCCATATTTTTCTGGGGAGTATATACACTTGTACATTTTTTAAAAGAATTTTTTAAAATTTAACTTTATTTATTTATTTTATTTTTAATTTTGACAACAGAGAGACAGAGTGAGAAGATAGAGGGAAAGTGACAAAGCAAGCCGCCAGGTCTGGGACTCAAGTCATGGTCAGCTATGTGGGAGTCCAGCTCCCTTAACCACCACGCTATCTGCTGGTCCCTACGTTTGTACATTTTTTTATACTCTGATTCTGTAACATTTCTGACATTAGTTTTTGTTTTACAGAAAAAAAAATGATAAAGCAATCAGAAAACCAAGAGGTTTACTATTAATGCTTAGGGTTGTCTGACTTCGCTGTTTAATAGACTTAAATGGCTGAATTAATTTACAAGAGTAATAATTTTTCATTTTTTTTCTTTTAGAGAGATTTTTGCTATAGGGTGCGTGCACTTGCCAGAGAGACAGAGACAGAAAGTGAGAAATCACCCTCCACCCCACAGCCCCCTGGGGAGGATGGCCACACCCATCCCTTCTCCTCCATTCTCAGTATCTTGGGCATGCACTCATATGCACCTGGCGTGTTTTTTTTTTTTTTTAAAGAATTATTTTATTTTATTTTATTTATTCATTTATTTTAATTTGACCAGAGAGAGACAGAGAGAGTGAACGTGAGAAAGCAAGCCACTAGGTCCAGAACTCAAACTGTGGTCAGCCATGTGCGAATGTCAACACCTTAACCACCATGCCACCTTCTGGTCCCACAGCATGAGTTTTAAGCTGCCAGGTCCGGGACTCAAACCATAGTTGACTATGGAGGAGTCCAGCGATGTAGCCATTATGCCATTTGCTGGTCCCAAGAGTAATTGCTGGTCCCAAGAGTAATAATTTTTTTTAAATTTATTCATTTTCTACATTAATTCACTATACGCCATCACAACACACAAATGAATTTTTCATCCAAAATACACTGTGCATTGGCTCAATCAAGCACATCAACATACATGTTCTCAGCAGATAATTTTCCAATTCTTATGTCCTGCATACCTTGCCTTTTGTTTTGCCATCCTTGATTCCTCATTCCCCACCCTCTGCTATGTCCCATCCTCCTCCCCCATTGTCCCTGGCATCCATGGTTGCCCTCCATGCCTTCCCCCTCCCCCATTCAATTGTTCTGCCAGTGAACCTAATTAGTCTAAATATATCCAATAGCTAGCACAGCTGACACATACCTATACATGAACCCAAGTCTGACTTTAGGCATAAACCCCAGTGAGTAGAATGAACATACTATAAAGTAGTACCCAGCTGTGCCCATACAGCTCGCTGCAGTCGTCAAATATGCATTTTTTTTTTACAAAATGATACGAACAGTTTTACTGTTTTTATTTATTTATTTATTTTTACATTACCTAATATTCATTCCCTGAGCATCACAACAACATGCTAAATGTGGTTTC